CCCCCAATCTGTTTGGACACTTTTAATGGTTCTGTTAAGTTGATTTTCTGCAAGAGCTTTGAAATGCATAAAAGCTGCAAAGGTATCAGACTTGTTCTTTAAGAGATAAAACCATGTGAACCTACTAAAGTGATCAATAAAGGTGACATAATATGAGTATCCATTTCTTGATTTAACAGGTGAGGGGCCCCATAAGTCTGAATTAACAAGAATATGTCATTTTATATATGTCATTTTATATACAGGGTAATAATTTTTACACATTCAATTTTATGATATTGTATTGAGTTTTTTTTAAATTAACAGGTCAACATAGATATCGTCGGAGAAATGAAAAGAAAATGGATCGATCAACAGATGCAGAAAACGAGATGCCATTGATAAAGCTGCAGTATATTTCTTAAAATGTGCATTACACAGTCTGAGGTTTTTATATAGCCTCATGTATCTCCAAACCCTGAATGGATAAGCATCTCCTAGTACAATGTGTAGGATGAATAATGATGCTTGATCACAATCTACATAAGACAAAACAAAACAGATTTGAAAAGATGCTGATCTGTGACTTGGCGCCTAAGCTCCTTGAGTGGGCCATGCATGCAGCTCACGTGATTCTTCATGGTGAGCATGAGCTTTGATTTTTAATTCTAACAAGAAGGAGTGAAATCGGTCATCTAATCTGATGGCGAGAGAGACTCTAGTCATGTATGTAAATACCAAAGATTAGGATTTACAAGTGTAACTTATCATCTAAGTCACTAAGGCTAAAAGAGTAAATACATAAATACATAAGATACAATGCACACTAACATAAGCAAATCCCAAATAATTGTAATATTCTTAGATCGGAAAGCATTGTGATAGATATCATATTCGGCGATGAGAACGAGAGTACAACTATTTGTGCAACATTAATTTTTTCTTAGAATAAGTTTCGCGCAACATGTCCTACGCCAAATGCAAGTGTTGTTAATGATATGACCCATGACGATGATCCCATTCAACCAACTATACAAAAAAAAAAA